TGTTGGAAAGCCATGGGCTTATTGTCAATATTATTGTTCTGTACGAAGATATTGAGAAGTCTATGTAAACCTTTGAGTGTTGCCAATGTTGCAGACTGTTTGTTCTTTTATTGATGGTTTGTTTTTACCAGATTTTAATACACGCTTAATTTTATCTGCATATGCAGATGATGTCATTGTGATTGTGAAAAACCAGGAAGATGTGACTAGGTTAGGAGACATTGTTGAAAGGTTTGGAAAAATCTCAGCTGCAAAAGTGCACTGGGAGAAGAGTGAGGCCTTAGCAGTTGGCAGTTGGTCTGCTGGTCTCCCTCAGCTACCAGGAGGGTTAAAATGGAGGAGGGGGGGCCTTTAGTACCTGGCTGTTTATCTAGGAGATGATCAGATTGTACAGAGGAATTGGGAGGGAGTGGTGGAGAAGGTGGAGGGGAGACTGACCAACTGGAGGTGGCTGTTGCCTCATATGTCCTACAGAGGAAGAGTCCTGATCATCAATAATCTGGTTGCATCAACTCTGTGGCACAGGTTGAAATGTGTGGAGCCCCCCTGCTGGTCTGTTACAGAAAGTGCAGTCCATCATGGTTGACTTCTTGTGGGATAAGTTGCACTGGGTTCCACACAGTGTACTTAGCCTGCCAAAGAAAGAGGGAGGGCAGGGGTTGGTGCACCTGGGGAGCAGAGTGGCAGCGTTCAGGTTACAGTTCATCCAGTGTTATCTCACAGGAAGGGATGAAGTGGTGTGGAGGCCATTGATGAGCACCATTTTAAGAAGGGTGGCAGATCTGAGATTAGAAGCATCTCTGTTTTTAATGAACTGTGATTTTATACGTGTCTGTGACTTGCCGCCTTTTTATTTAGGGAATATTCAGAGCATAGACTCTTTTTAAATGGAACAGACTGGAACTTGCAGCCTCACTGTTGCTTGCTTCTGGAGGAGCCTCTCATCCATGGGGCCTGTTTGGCTGTTCAGGACCACACCAGACCTGGTGTCACCCAGCGGTTGCTTTCAGCTGGGGCAGTGAACCACATGGTGGATGCTGCAGGTCCAGGATATTACAGCACAGATGCAGTGGCTTCTCTGCTGGGGTTGAGATCACATCGTCACACCAGAGGTATGTTGAACACGTGAATTAAAAGACTGAGAAGTGAGGAGCATCAGATGTTGCAGGATTATTTTACTGGGACAAAGACTCTTTTCCTGAACTGGGTCTCCACATAGACCAAACTGGACTGTCAGGACCACTGCTGGTCTACCAGACTACAGCATGTGTAGACTTGTACATGTTTAATGGGAAAGCTGTGTACAGGTCCTGTGTACAGGTCCTGTGTTCAGGCGTTGAACAAGAGGAAGCTGAATGGAGGAAAGGATACAATGTGGAGAGAGAGACAGACGCTGCAGGACACCTGTAAACCAGTGTGGAGGCTGTTGTATAAACCGCCTTTAAACAAGAGGTCAGGTGACCCGCAGTGGAGAATCCTGCAGGCAGCACTCGCCATCAACAGCTTTATCTCTAAGAATAACCCCTTGGTGTCCAGTAATTGTCCTTTCTGTCAGGAACCAGAAACTGTTTCTCCCTGTTTCCTGGACTGTAGGAGATTTGGTGTTCTGTTCGAAACCCTAAAAACTGTCTTTCTGAACTGTAACCAGGTTTGGTTTGAGACTGATTTATTTTTGGTGCTGGCTACAGTAAAGAAAACGCAGAGAAGTGGCAGCTCTTAAACTTTGTTGTGGGACAGGGCAAACTGTCCATTTATAAGAGCAGGAAAGCTCGGGTCATGGCTCAAGCGAGGAACTGCTGTCACTGTTCAAGGGTTTATTCAAAACCAGAGTGAGAGTGGACTTCAGGTTGATGCTACGATAATAAATTAGTGATTTTCATGAAATAAAAAAACTTATATCACATTTAATTTTATTTCATTATGTATTTGATGAAAAATGTATATATCAATATGATTTGCAAATATAATACGCAAATCAGGAATGCTTTGCAACATACCACCAGAAATAGAGTGGATCTAATGGCCAAAAAAGTGTAAGTGCTGTTACACCACTGGCCAAAAAACATTTGTGCTGTTGCACAAATAGCAAAAAAACATTTTCTTAGTGGGTAGACCTGAGTACACCTGCATGTCATGTAGACTACAACACTGCCCACATCTCCCTCCCATCCTTACAATTTCTCACACAGTGGCCTAGACCATTTTAATTAGCTTGCTTGTTACCTAATTGAACATATTCGAGCATGTAAATAAAGTTTTTTTATCAATACTATCAACAGTGTTTTGCAAGTTCACACTTTAAAAGAACTAGCTCAAAGTTCAGTTCATACAGATGACAATGTCAGATGACTTCATGTTCATAGTTAATTTTTTTTTAAATTTTGAACTAAGTTCACAGTTCCAAAAATGAACTAGTGCACATTCATTTGTTCCATTTTTTTTAATAAATAAATGCTGATATTCTTTTTCAATAGAACCACCTTCTACCCATCCATCACCAGCCCCAAATCATTGCCACTTCCAACTAAATTAATAATTGTGTACCAATGAAGAATCACAGACATTAGTTACATTTAAAATATGTATATAAATATAATCCATCTTCACTTGTTGGTTCATAAAACTGCTTCAAATGCTCAAACAAACTGGCTACAGCAGTAGTAGATGTGACTGTACCGTCTGTACCGTTTGTATCGTCTGTACCGGTAGTATCAGCCAAGCTGGGCTGTGTCTATGGAGACATTATGTGGCGTGCCATAAAACTGACATAAAATTTGAGCTACAACTGTTGTGAAACGTGAGCAACATTCACCCTTGATGGAGTGAATGCCACCCACGTTCATGTTCATCATTTGTAAACTGATTCGTTCTGTTCAGCGTTCACTAAAAATATGAACGTACATGCACAACACTGACTATCAAGCATTCAGCCACATTTGCCAGCTAGCAAACACGGCATATGGACTCGACTGGCCTTGTGCTTTACAAATTTTTCTAATTTATTTTTAATAAACTGAAAGTATCACCTCATTCCTTTGCTGTATGGCTTTTAACTGGATGCCCTGGGAGGTTGTTTCAAGATGGCGAGCTGCACGAATGGCATGTGAGGAGCTTGGAAACTATAAGTTGTACCACATCAAAAAAAGCTAAACCAAATACTATTACCATTGTGCCTACGTTAAGATAAAAACACACTGTGAGTAAACTGAAAACAACTTAAACTTGATTTACTGTTGAAAAAATTAAACAGATGTTAGGGAAAGTCTCAAAACTGCAAGAGAGATGTGAAGACGCAGAGCATTACAGCACGATCTTGAAAGAAAAGGATGCAAAGAAACAAGCTCTGTTCACTTGTGGATGCAGCCAGAAAACAAGGTGAACATGCCCGTTTCTGTGGTCGAGATGCTTATAATGATGGAAAAAAGGTAACATGCTAAATTTATGTTGGGCTCAAAGCTCTCTATTTTCTGTTAATATGCCACAGTAGTACTAGCTGGCATTTAATATTATTAATGGTTTAAAATGCATAAATGTGTGAGATGGTACTAGCAGAGGTTCAGTGTTTGTAAGTACCTATTCAGTTTTTTCTACTAACCTACAAGGAGTTTATTTTTCTTCAGACATCTGTTAAACCTTTTTTTTTGTTTTGTTTTGTTTTAATATGATGCATTTTAATTTTGGTGCATTAAATTTATCTTCTATTAATGTCAGGTGATAATACATCAAGAAAAGCAGTGTTTCTTTTCAGTCATCATAATGCTGATATAGTTTTCTTACAAGAAAGTCATTCATCTAGTGATGATGATAAATTTTGGAGATCTCAGTGCGGGATAGTGTATTTTTCTAATGGCTCAAATCATTCTGGAGTCACAGTCTCACTAAACAGATTTAATGTTTATATTTTGGAGTCTATTATTTCAGAAGAAAGATGGTGGATTATCTTGGTTTTAAAGAATCTTCTTACTTTTATTTCCAGTGTTTATGGACCAAATAAGACAGTTCAGGCAAAAAATATGTTTTCTAAGATCTCCTTAAAACTGACTTATAAGGAAAATATAAAGAACCTATTTTCATCATTGGAGGACACTTCAATTACGCTCCAGATGAAGAAATGGATCGATGGCCTCCTAGATCCTCAATGGGCTTTAAACCTACGTCATTTATAAGTGATCACCTTTTGCTTTCAGTTGCTTGCGATTTATGAACCCCAGTGTCAAAGACTACACTAGTCCAACTCTAGCAGATGTTCTCAGTCAAGAATTGACCTATGGTTATCATCATCACATGGATTACAGTTTATATGTTTCTCACTCCGATGCTCCACTGACTGATCATAAAATGATAAGTCTTAGATTGAAGGGGCACTAAAGAAAAATCTAACATTAGAGGGTATTGGAAGTTAAAGAGCAATGTATTGAATAGAAAATTTAAAGAAGGTGTAGAACTACTTGCTAAAAATATTTTTACAAAGGAATGAATTTAATTCAAAAATGGGAATTCTTTAAATTTAAAGTCAGAGAAGCTGCAATAAAACATAGCAAAGAAATAAAAAACTAAACAAAACTAAACTCTGCTGCCACATAGTGACTGGTGGTGTGTACATAACCACCATTCAGATGAATGCTGAGAAGCTCCTATCTCTTGTATTGAAAGGAGCGAACTGCGCATGTACAACTTATAATGAGAGTCAATGGACAAAGAAAATGCGCCCCAGGCTGGAAACACGTGACTAATCAGTATTGTGTTGTAACGTTTTTTGATCTACATTTTATTGCAGATTATTTTACTCACTAACTATATAATGATTAGTATTTTAATTGCTCATAAAAATATTCTTATTCACTGAAATTGTACTATGTGTGGAGAGGTGGAGCGGCGCCCTAGCGCCCTCTATTGGCCGGCTGCCACCGGTGGCAAGGCATTTTTTAGGGAGGGAGGCTGCCTTCCCGGTAGATCCGCCCCTGGCTCGTATCTGCAGTTTTATTTTGGAGGATTCCGCTTCCGTGTCCGCTCTTTCGCTGCTTCGCCGTGTCTGTTAGAAATCTGAAGTCCAGCACTGAGTCGGGCTTCTTCACTCAGCTCCCCGAGTTCATAGCTGTCTGTGTGGAAGCTGAACGCAGGGTCGTTGGCCTCTGCGGTGAAATCAACATGGCTCCGCTGAAGTTCTGTGCGAATATTTCCTGGCTCTTCACGGAACTGCAAGACTTCAGCCACAGAATATACGCGGCTGCCGCGGCTGGGTTTCAGGCTGTGGAGGCAGCCTGGCTCTACGACTGCGAACTGCAGGAGCTCCAGAGGGCTAGAGAGGCTACAGGAGTGGACGTGGTCCTTATCAACACTCCGCCCGGTAAACGGTCTATAACACGGGCCACAGACACACACACACACACACACACACACACACACACACACACACACACACACACACACACACAGAGGTTCATCTTGTGTGTGTGTTTGGCAGGAGATGTAAAGGCAGGGGATCTTGGTCTGGGAGCGATTCCTGGCAGAGAGGCTGAGTTCAGACAGGGTCTGGATCTGGCTGTGAAGTATGCAAAAGCTTTGGACTGCAAAAGGTGAGGCAGTTCTCCACACTGACACCTGTTGAGTATACAAAGTGACCTTATGCAGGGACTGGTGCAGCCACTTTAAACAGGGCAACTCAATGGACTACATAACACACAGGACAGTTATACTTATAAAAGATGCACAGAGCAAAATAACAAATATAGCCGTGATTTAAAAAGAATAAACTAAAGAATAAAATAAAGAAGAATTAAATAAAACAGCAGAAAAAATACAGTTGTGTGAGATGAACATCCCCAAGCAAAAGAATACGTCTTTTAAAACTTGTTGAGACATAAGTTCATTCATTATATTAAATGTGATAGTAGCTGACTGTGTGAACATAAATATTTTTTATAGAAACAATGAATCAGACGACTCCTGTGTCACTTGTAGAGACAAACCTAAGAGAGCGATGGACTCAGGGGTAGCTCTATCTTGTCCCCTTGTTTCTGGCTGGCTCTCTTTGTTCCAGGGAATTGAGGGGGGTAGCTGTGAACCTGTCAGGGATGCAGCACACCTGGGTAGGCTGGGCTCAGGTGTCTCTCTTCCCTGGCCTTCTGACTGACCTTGTCTTTATGGTACACAATCTGTATATTGTGTTTCACACCCATACACATACTCCTGACCAATCACTCACATAGACACTGCAAACATACTGCTCTGCAGACGTACACACCCCATTTCATGTTTTGTACTTTACTTGATTAAATCACTTGCCAAATGCACAGACTTTGTGTCTCCCGCTTTGTCACACACTAGTGAGCCAGGTTGTGACTGTGGAGATACAGTACATGTAAACATAGATGTGTCTTCTAGCTGCTGAAGCAGCTGCTTCTCAGATCAAACACAGCAAACTGAAATACATTGATTAGTTTAGAGCCTTAACAGATCTTTGTTCTGTCTTCTTCGAAATAAAGATATAAATCAAGCACATACAGTTCATTCATGGAGGTTTTCAGACCCCTTCACTTTGTTCACATGTTATGTCATCAGTCTACATTCAGTCTGTAATACACCGTAAAAACAGAACCTTAGAACTGCAAATTTAAAAACAAAAAAATTAAAGTGACACAAGTATTCAGACAAACAGACAACTCTACTGTATGACGGTAAGATCTTTAGTCCAGCTCAGGGTATGCATTTTTCATGGTGATGTTGAGGAGAAGCTACAGACAGACCTACAGTATCAATAATGTTAGTACTGTGTCGGTTTTCTCTGTAAGCAGTACTGATCATTATAGCATGGTAAAGTAAACGTATTGTGTTTAAAGGAGCTATTTGTAAGTTTCACTATTGCTGCATAGCTAACGTTAGCATCAACAGCTGTTTACTGACCAGTCTTGCCGAGAGCTTCAGCCATCGCTGCATTAACAAGACAAGAGGTTGTTGTGGCGAGAAGTGGTGGATCAAAAAAGGAATCAGACAGTTGAGACACAGGTGTCAAAGCGGGGAGTCTCTTTATTCACAACGGCCTACTCGCAGTCATAGTCGGAGACAACAACAACAACACAGAACGAAACATGTTCTTTTATATCTCAGATGGCTATGTGTGTGTATGTGCATCCTGTTTTCCAATCAGTTTGGCTTCGTCATACTACTCTTGCCTAACTATTAACCAACTAGGTTTTCCTGGCCCACACCCAGGTCACTGTGTTCTTCCTGGCAGAACACAGTGGCCCCTTGCCAGGTCACTGTGCTCCCATTGGTCATGCCCTTGACGTTATGTTTATTCCTAATTTTCCAATCTCCTATTTTCCAGATGTTTTTCCCAAAACGGTCAAAGTGTCTTGGCCCACTCTGTTAGCCACCAAACCATATCTTTTGTTATTGTTATGTTTGTTATTCTCCTACATTGGCTCTTGTACTCCTGTTGGCGTCCAACCAGGTGATATCAAGTCATACATCTTTGGGCCTTATAATTCTCCTACATATCCCCCCTGAAATCACTATTGTGATTTAAACTATGTGTGAAGTATGAGTGATGGATAACATAACATTGCAAAAATGGTGACAGTGAAACGATATGATATTCTGAATATAGTTATGACTGTAACACTACTGTGATAATAGTATCTTTCACTATAATGCAATTGGAATACATGGGACAGTTCACATGTTCAGAGATGTATGGGAGCAAAAAAACCTGCATTAATTCTCCCATGGCCCCTTTCCCCACAGGCGACCGACTTCACAAGTCACACCCTGAACCATGCTCAGTAAACACAGCACATTCTTATGATGACTCAATACAATGGATAATGAGATAACCTGGATATTGATCAGACAACGAATACATTGATTACCCAATAATTCCTGTAGTTCTTACTGGTTACATGAATGCATTTATATATGTATATGGACTAGGGTTGCACGGTATACCGGTACCAGTATAGTACCGCGATACTAGAGTTTTGAAAACGGTACTATACCAGCATTTAAAAACAAACGGTACTTTTATTTTATTTTATTAAACGCAAATGAATTGGTAAATTGGAGCCTGTCTCTTTAAGCACAGCGAGGCCAGCGAGTGTGACGTAGTTGCCCGAGCGGATGTAAGCGGCCTCCCACGCGCACTCGCATGTTTAGACTGAGGAGGAGAGAGAAACGACAAGTCGCGTCTTAGACAGACGGAGCGGGATTAAGAAAATACAGTAAATAGAGATGGCAGCTGCAGAAAAGCCCATACTTGTGGACAAAATGGGGGCCCGAAGTACGGTGTGGAAATATTTCGGGTTCAAACCGAACAATAAAGGCGAGCCACTGAACCCAGAGGCACCGCAGTGCAAGCAGTGCTACAAAGTGTGTCTCGCAAAAGGAGGCAACACTTCAAACCTGTCGAAACATTTAAAGGACAACCATGCGGACTTGTTCCGAGACTTCAGTCAAGAACGACAGGTGATAATGTTGTTCACCAGTTCACTGCACTGTAATGTCAGTGAAAGAAGTACAAAGCCCCTCCCAGCCCAGTAGTAAACCTACAGTAGCCTGCATACAGAGAGCTAAAACATGCCCATGGTTAATAGATACATTAAAAAATATATTTTTAAAAATTAAATTACATTCTTTAAATATTTAAATAACCCATTAAAGGCAATACATAATATAATGAAATATTTTTTACAAAAAGTATCGAAAAGTATCGAAATACATATTGGTATCGGTATCGAAACAGATATTTGGTATCGTGACAACCCTAATGTGGACCTATAAAAGCGCATGTATGCACATTATGTAAGTATTTATCATTATGTAAGTATTAATCGAGTACACTGTTGGTTACAAAACATTGGTGATTACATATGCATAATTCTGTGTGGTGTGTTAAAATTCAGTCCATTGAGTCCATCAACAGGTAACAAAGTTCATGTCCCCCCTGTTGGGGCTCCCTTCCATCCTGTCACTTTCCTTACACCTGTTCCTCGGGTTCTGATTCGTCCTCAGAACCATCTGCAGTGTCCAGATAACCGGGTATCGGGAACAAGTCCGCTTTCCCCAGTAGTCCTTGAACCACTTGGCGCATTTGAGCCAGTTGTCCATTTGCCAGCACATTTATCATTTGAGCTCCCTGCAGGCCCATCATCATGTCCGTTTGTTTGTCCATGGCACGCAGGCACTGTCTCCACAGCATGGGAACGATGCAACATGCCAGAAAAGAAATTAGAATTAGGACTATGACAGCACTCATGGCTGCCTTGGCCAAAGCGGCTCCCCATTTTCCTAACTTTTGGTCCAACCAATCCACAGACAGGCTACTTCCCCTCCCAGCATTCCCCTTCATTTCTAGTCCGAACTTCTGTAATTTCCTCATAGCTATTGTGAACGATCCATCAGCATCTGTATTGTTTGGAATGTATGTACAGCAGTATTTTCCAAACGCTTTGCAAACTCCTCCCCGCTCTGCTGTCATCCATTCCAACACCTGTCGGTTCTGCCATGCTACTGCAGTGGTTGCATGCAACTGTTCCCCCAATGCTCTAAACAATTCACCGGTGTAGTTGATATATCTCTGTTGCTTGTAGTAGATGTAATTTATCCAGGCTACATTTTTGTTGATTGTAATCCAGGGCAATATGGACTCTAATCCTGATATCACCTCATTTTGTGCTTTAAACTCACCGGGGATTCCTGCTGGCAGTCCTGTCGCGTCTATTTCGTCATCTGAACTGCCACTTTAACCTTCGAGGTTTATCTGACTCCATTTCCTGCTTGATTATCTCATTCACTCCTTAATACATGACTACCATTGGAATACACAGCCTAACTAGGGCGCAGAGTCCTACCCACCTTGGTGGAAGAAGGTTACGCTATACATCATCTCCACACATCCAATAGCTGTCAGCAACTGCTGTGGTTTGTGCTGCTAGAAACTGATTGCTGGGTCTAGTCATACGTATACTATCACATCTCTGATCTATTGGCCCTGGATTTTCATACCATATGGGCTGTGTCACAAATATAGGCATCATCTTGGCGTGTGGAAACCATGACAACACCCAGGTTATGTTACAATTTACAGTTGTATTCCCCAGATATACTTCTGGGCCATACTGGCTAGTGCTGCTGAATCCTCCACTAGCAAAACACTCGTAGTTAGCCACTTGGTCTACCTTATAATTGGTTGGAGGTCCATTCTGGGCTGTCGTTACCTGAAAGTCCTGACACAGATTGATTTTTCTTGCAGGTAATTGGCTAAGGAGGTTATGTGTCTTTTGAGATCCATAAATCATTCGGCACTGAATTTCACATATTGGTAACTTAAAAATCCCTATCGCATTCTTGGGAGGGGTAAATCTTCCTTCCTGACACTCGTTTTGCTGATATGCAGCACACTTCTCAAAACTGTATTTCTCAGGGATTACTACAGGAAGTGTGCTGGGAGTCTCGGCACATACTAGACACTCATTACTAGTCATTCTTTTAGTTGTGTACATTAGCCATTTATACCATTTATTATACTTAGCCATCTCCTAGAGTTCCCCTAAACCGCCGGGCACGCCTCTATGTTTTG